ATCTATAAACATTATCTGTTGACTCTATACAAACAAAAATTTAGTTGTCTGATGTTTGACAGATATATCATTATTTTAGTTCTTCTATTCATGATGTTGCACTTGGGATCAATCATTTCTCTTGCTTGAGTTGACGGGAGAGAGCAGAGAGGAGCCTTGGTTCCAATGACATTCTCAGCCCCTATGCCCACTCAGATGGATCATGTCCAGTTCTCCTGTTGCCTATAGACTTCTTTCTACAGAAGAAACAACTTTCCCTTGCTTAAGATCACTGTTGTCGAAACTAGTTTGGCTCAGTGGGTAGAGTGTGGGACTGCGGATTGAAAGGTCCTGGGTTTGATTCCGGTCAAGGGCATGTACCTTGGTTGCAGGCACATCCCCAGTAGGTGGTGTGCAAGAGGCAGCTGATCGATGTTTTTCTCTCATCGATGTTTCTAACTCTATCTCTCTCTCTTCCTCTCTGTAAAAAATCAATAAAATATAATTTTTTAAAAAACTAGCAAGGTGGTGAGTTTTGGGTGTACAATTTCCATTTTCTTGTAAGTTAGTTAATGAGACAGCCTCCCTGAGTTTGATCAGCTCAGGGGCACCTACAGCATGAAAGGCAAAATGGAGACCTGCCCCACGCTATACTGTTGATCTGCTAGTAACCAGAACCCAAACCCAACATAGCATAGGGGATGTGAGGCAGAATTAGAGCAGGAAAAGAAGAGTGATACCCAGAAGAAACCATACGAACTAGATACATTGTCAGAAAATAAAGGAAAACTTTATGGGAACTCCTTTAAGGCTATTTGATCAAGATAGCAGGACATAATTTTGGTGCAGGTTATCTTTTATATTTGTTTATATGTTCACTCACCAGAGATTCTACATTCAAAGTAGAAGCTCGGTCAGTCAGGTATATTGCTTACCAGATTTTTTTGGGTGGTGGGGATTGTTAAATAATACAAATCTGAACCAAATGTTAACCATACAAAATTAAATGAAAAGACCAAAAATCCAAAAAAGGCAGGAACTCACAGATTTCAGGAGACAAGAATGCTTTATTGGGTCCTGGGCATGCATCCAGTCCATCCACCCTCTCACTATCCTCTGGCAGGACCCGCCGTCTCGCTCCTTGCCATGAGAAATTAACTGGCGAGGCTCTGCTGGTTTTCCTCTCCAGGCCTGGGAGCTGCTGTGGAAATGAGCTCCCTGGTCTCATCAGCAGAGACAGGGAGAAGGAACAAAGTATGGAGTCATCATAAGGCACACAGGCATGAAAAGCAGACCTCAAGCTGCGGCTAATCCATCCTAGGGTCCCAGGAATGAAAAAAAAAAAAAACAAAAACACCAGGTATCCCCTAAGATAACACCTAGTTATTGCCATGACTGAGGATTTCTGAGCGGGAAAACAGGTCTTTCTCAAGACGCCAAGGCAGAGTCAAAATCTTTTAGATCTTTAATGGAGAGGAAGTCAAGTATCTTTGTTTTTTGTTGTTGTTATTGTTTTTCCCCCAAGTATCTTTGAAGAGAAACCTTATTTTAGCACTTAGGTAAATATTGTAAACCTTCTTTTGCAGCCTTCCCAAAGGGATCTGTTTGGGCATTTATCTGGGGACTATAGAAGGAAAGGTTAACACCCAGACCTGGGGAGAGGAGTGTCCTGCGTAGGACACTGGCTCCAAGCTAGTCCAGTTTCTGGGAACAAAAGAAAAGCATGTGGTCTGCCAATCAATGAGAATCATTCATAGATCAAATTTGATGCTTTAGTGAAATCCCAAAGCCAGGGGTTGAGTGTATATCGATAGTTGAAATAGACATACCCGTAGGATAGGTATAAACCTCACAATGGCTCTCTGGTTTGTGGGGTAAACATGACTATATTGGACAAGTGCAAGCCGTTAGAATTTGCCCTCTCTAGCAAAATGGTAAATCGAAAGTAATACCATATTCCTGGGAAACTGTAAACAGTAGTGTTACTACCGAAGTCTTGAGAGTGAAGTCACAGTGGGGTTCCTAGCACAGCTCAGCTTGGCCAGTGCAAGACACCGGGAGGCCTTCGGAGTGCTGTAAACTTTCAAAATCAATGACTCCAACTGCAGGTGTTGCTTCAGAGTGGTCTTCTTGCTAAAGCAAAGCCATCCAGCTCCTGGCATTCATTATAAATCCTCTGACAGGCAAAACTCCCTAGTCACAAACACTAGTTCCCATGACCTGGTAGAGATATGGGTGGTAGCCTTTACCCATACTTACTTTCTTGCTAGGTTATATTATTTTGGTTGAAAATGGTTAATTTTGCCAAAACTGGTTTGGCTCAGTGGATAGAGCGTCGGCCTGAGGTCCCAGGTTTGATTCCGGTCAAGGGCAGGCACATCCACAGTAGGGGGTGTGCAGGAGGCAGTTGATCGATGTTTCTCTCTCATCGATGTTCTAGCTTTCTATCCCTCTCCCTTCCTCTCTGTAAAAACTCAATAAAATATATATTTTTTAAAACAAAATCAATGTGAAAATGGTTAATTTTACCAGTTAATCCACAGGTTGCAAGATTTCAAAATGGGATTGTGATAAAAAGATAGGGTAGAGTATTACTAGTGACACTGGACTTTGGAGAATGGTAGCTTAGTCATTACCCATGGATTCAGTCATTGGATGTGACCCTGAATGGCTCCCTAAGCAGGGAGAAATTTGTGTTTGGTTGTATGTGGGAGAGTCGTAATCAGATGGGAAGAACGGTGTGTGTGCGTTGGGGTATCATCTGTCGTCGCCCACCAAGCCTTTTCTACCCTCCCACTCTCCCCCATTCTTCTGGTGAGAATCCCCATCCTTTGGAACCTGCGACTCCTCCTATTCCATTAGCCCCATGCTAGCAATGTGACCAGTGGAGGGAGACCCACTGGGACCAATGGCTCAATGGTGTCCACCTGACAACAGCAATAGCTCCTGGGAGGCAAGCTCTGGAACTCCCTGGCTCCCCGCTTCTCAAGGCCAATTGTCCAGCTATTCCTCTGTGAGCTACCCCAACTCTCTTCTCATGAACCCCTTTTTCTTTAAGTTGATGCAAGTCCATTTCTGTTGCTCAAAAGCCCAAGAAACCTGACGGAAAGGGTCTCTTCTGAGCCTACATCATGCATCTTTGATCCCCAACAACTGTTAAATCTGAGTCTGGCATAAAGGAGGGAGTGCTCACTATATGTCTGCTGAATAAATAAATGAATGAATAAATGAATGGAAAAATATTCCAGCTCTATAATAGTTCACCCGGGCAATCTGGATAGGCAGGTGGGAGAGTTGGGGCACAATAGGGCGAGTGGGGAAAGTCACAAGAGGAGATAGAGAAGTCAGAAATATCAGCATAGAGAGGGCAAACATCAGGCAAGGAAAACCCCAGGCCAGAGAGGGAAGGGAATGGGTTAGGAATGACAAGCCTTCCTGCTGCTTGGGAGGCAGGAAGTGGTCCGTGAGTGGCTGGGAGGCTGTCCGAGCTGTGTTGGCTGCAGTGGAAGAAGCTAGAGACAGTGGTGTTTTTGCAGAGACCCCAGCTCTGCTTTACTCTCTTGGTTCCTTCTTTGTGTTCCTCTCCCAAATGAATGAGCAATTCCGATCTGCCCCCAAGTTCACAGACATCCTGCTAAGGGGCACAAGCCATCAGCCCATGGACTATCTAGCTGTGGGCCACAGAAGGCTGAGACTAAATGTCAACTCAAGAGCAAAAACATGGATTCCTTTTTCCAGTCGGCCCAAGGAGAACCTGCCTGGGGAGAGGGGCCCCTGAGCCCATACACCTACAACCACACCAGATGAGGGAGAGCGGGAAACACAGTTGCTGCCTTTATTGCATTCCAGGGGGAGCAGCCCCATCGGGAGTTTCCAGGTTAGGCGTTCAGTGCTGGGCTGAGCACAGCCGTTCCTTGGGGCCCATAAATGAGGTCCCGGAGCTGGAGCTTCAGGATTAAGAGCTAATGGTTGGGGATCGGGGCCATAAGTCCCAGGCTCAGAGACAGCCCTCACAGCAGGTAGATGGTTTATATCCTTCCTAAAACTCCCATGCCATTTCCCCGTGGAGAAGAGTCCCAGCTCTCCATCCCCTGCCAGGAGGGCATGTGAAATTCACATCTCCTTCAATATGGAGCACAAGGTCCTCAGAGTCCACACTTTCCCTCTGGCCACTGCTGCTGACACAACCCTTGTTCCAGTTCTTACCTCACAGGCAAAGGGCCTGGGAAAAGCAGGGGAGGGGTAGACAGGGGTATACCAGAGGCCAGAGGGTCTTCTCATTACCTAGATCCTGGTGGATGGGGGTAGGACAGGCTAGAAAAGCCAACAGGCAAGGGAACAAGCAGAGTCAGTGAAGGGCAGGCAGCAGGCTGCAACTGCGCTCAAAGCCAGGGATGGTAGATGGGATGCAAGAAAGCATGGGAAGCAGGCAAGTGAGTGCCTGGGTGAAGGGGGAAGAAAGCAAGAATACGTGCCCCCAAAGACTACCACATAAGGACTGCTCAGCCCAAAATGGGGCACAGGAACAGGTTAGTTGCAGGGTAAGCTGGGATGAATGAGGCAAAGTAGTCTGAAAGAGAAGACACCCTGAGAGTCACACAGCAGAGGCAGCCCGAAGCCCTGAGGTCAGGGTTGAGCAAAGGGCAGAGGGTAAGTGCTGGCCTGCATGGCAGGGTCTGGCTGGGGCAAGGGGTCAGGGTGCAGAACTCATGCAGAGGACTCAGGGAGCCTCCAGCAGTGGCCAGTGTAAACTTCAAGGAGGGCCTCAGCCCCTGGGAAACATGGAGGTGGGGCCTGGGAGCCGCCCTGGTGACATGGCACCGGGAGAGGCCACCAGGCTGTGTGCCATGCACCAAAGCCGTCTGAGGCGGAGCTGACTGAGAGGCTGCGCAGAGAGGCCCCCACGTGGTGCCTGCTCAGTGCACGTCTCCGCTTTGTCTGTATCTGGAAAGTCTCCATCGGTTCAAGCTGCTTCCTTGTTGGTCTGCTGCTGGGTGGAGGCCCCCAGCCTCCTGTAGGGGCTACCGCGTGCCCTGGGCCTTGGAGCCCCCCTCTTGGCTGGGAGGCTGACCCAGTAACTGAGTGCCGACTGCCCCTGAGGCCTGAGAAGTGGCTTTGGAGCTTGGGGTGCTCTTCCGGGAGCCCTGGGGGCTGGGGAGGCCTTTCTTCTGGGGCTGAGGACTCAGCTGGGGGCCCTTCCTGCCGGCAGATGGACTCTTGGAGCCTTTGGCCTTGGCTTGGGCAGCCTCGGGGCCCTTGAGGGCTTTCAGCCCCAGCATCTCACAGAAGGTGTTGCACTGGTGGGAGGAAGCAAACTGGTCCAGCAGGGCAGGGAAACAGCTCTCCTTGAGGCCTTGGTATCTGTAGCCAAACAGGAAGAGCTGAGGGCGAGTCCCACCCAGATGGAGGCTCCTTGAGGGGCTGGCTTCGGGATGGCCATGGCCAGGGTATTGTGGCCAAGGTCCATATCCCCTACCAGGCAGTACTGGGGAGTCTACCTGGTACCGCCTCAGGTGGCAGGATCTAAAAACCTCAATTCTAAACGGAGGTCTCATGATTCCCTGGCACATGGAATTCATCGTGTGGGACACTAACTGGTGTGAAGATGATCTGCCTTTTTACCATAAATTAGGGACGTCTCTAGGGCATCGCTCTGCTCATAGGCCCTTGCTTATCTGTGTCGTGGAGCTTTCTCAGGTGAGAAGGAAGAGGATCAGGTACAGTCAGAGGCCAACATTGCAGGTGACCCTGTGTGTGGGCGTCACCAGCTGCTGGTCCCGATCTGGGGCAGGAGCACAGCATGTGGGGACCAGCAACCCCTGGGGTGTTACTACATGGCCACGGGTACAACTAGGACCATGTGGCCATAGGCCTAGCACCTCAGGGATGAAGGACCTGGAGAACTTTGACATGGTAGACCCTAAGAAGACCCTCAGAAGGCTTCTGTCCTTGAGAAGTACTCACCCTCGCAGCTTGGTGGCAATCTGCACATCAGTCATCTTCCAGTCAACCCCTGGAAAGGAAGTTGGGAGCTGAGTTGATGGCAGCCAGGGCTGGTTCTAGGCCCCCATGTCTCCAAGATGGAAACTTGCCAGTTTCAGAGTATATCTTTAGGTATCCTGTCAGTAGGTCATCAACATTGGCCTATCTCACTGGGTATTTCTGTATCAGTAGTAGTAATAATATTCCCATTTTTACAGGTGAGTAGCAAGGCTCTGAGTTAAGTGACTCAAGCAAAGTCTCATTCATTCATTCATTCATTCAGTAACTGAGCATTTTTCAAACAGTCTGACAGTACTCTTCTTGAAATCTGCCTCTCACTAACAAGGCTGAGTACCATACTCAGCATAAATGTAGGCTTGAGAGTCAAGACAGACCTGGATTTACATTTTAGCTCTGTCATTTGATCTGTTTGAACTTGGTAAGTTACTCACTATCTCCATGTAGATGGGGTAATACTGCCCATCTCGCAGAGGTATTAGAGAAATCAGAACATTGTGGGACTCCAATTTAGTGTCTGAAACACAGCAGTTATGCAATGAATATTAATTCTGTGATGTCTCTTTCAGCATTCACCACATTCCATTTTGCATTACCATAATGATGCTCCTTTACACCTGCACAGAATTTTAGCTTGCACAAATATGGTCTCAGTTAATTAGAGCCAATCTTAGAGCCAGACAGGGACAATATTATTATCCCTAGAGAGAGAAAGGAAACTGCAGCTCAGAGAGATTGAGGTCTAGACTTAAATCTATTTCTTTAACTCTCAAGTCTTTCTACTATATCATGTTACGCATTATAGAAATTGTTATACTGATCACAGCTTCTTAAGGACAAGGACCATTCCTAATTCACCTTTTACCTTTCCAATACTTGGTAAAGTTAAATGGATGGATAGATGGAAGGAAAGAAGGAAGGATCAATTCCGAGTTTACAAATACTGTGAATGACAATGGCTAAATGTGTTACTAGCCTCCCGCCCCTAAATATATCGAGTTATAAAAAACAGTATTTATTATACAGTTTAACCTCACTGAAAAGCTCGTTTGAGCCAGTTTTCTCTCTGGCCTTTGATCTCCTCACTTATTTACACCAGGGGCTATATGAAATAATGTGTGATATTTCCAGCGTTCCTCTCCAACACTGTAGAGAGCGTTTTATCTTTTCCTATTTCCTGCCCAGGTGTGTACAGAGAGTAGGCTGGAGAGGATGATCAGGGATGGAGGGAGGATTCATGCTCGCTGGCCTTCCTTTGCTGCGGAAGAATCTGAGTAATGGCAGAAACAGGAAGAAGCCAGATAGATAAATAAATAAAAAAATTTAAAAAAAGCTAACGAGGATGGAGGAGGAGGAAAAGGAGGCAGGGGACAGTATGGCTCCGCTGCTGGGGTGGAAGAGAGTTTGGATAGTACTGAGAGTGCAAGTCCATAGTAAAGCTGCAGGGAAGGGAGGAAGGGAGATTTTGAAAAGATGGTTGTGGGTTTTGAATTAAATCCCATGTAATGTTTTTTTAAACAAACTCCTTTAAAATTTTAAGTGGGCTTGGAGTGCATGCCTTTATTTTTATTTTTTAAATATATTTTATAGATTTTTTTAGAGAGGAAGAGAGAGAGATAGAGAGTTAGAAACATCGATGAGAGAGAAACATCCATCAGCTGCCTCTTGCACACCCCCTACTGGGGATGTGCCTGCAACCAAGGTACACGGCCTTGACCAGAATCGAACCCGGGACCTTTCAGTTTCCAAGCCGTCACTCTATCCACTGAGCCAAACCGGTTTCGGCGGGAGTGCATGCCTTTAAATACAACCGTGATTACAGACGAGGCTACAGGAAGCCCTGGTGTGTATTAGGCTTGCATACAAATGGTGCCTGTCCAATTTACTTCACAAGCTTATTGCCAACAGCAAAGGAAAGTGAGAAAGTGCGTTGCAGACCAGTACACAAGCACCCTCCTCTGACGCTGGGCCTGCTCTCACACACGTGCTCTGGTACTTTCACACCCTCATACCTGCCAGATCTGTGACCAGGAAGCTGCCATTTGTCCACAGGTACAGCCAGTGCTGGAAGGCCTGGCACTTCTGTACGGCCTCCGAGCTGCCTGATGCTGGTGCGGCAGCACAGCCCCATTCCCGGGAACAATAAGGTTCCAGGGGCTTGCCCAGGTCCTCCTCCAGCGTAGCATATGGGATATTGTTTGCAGGCCGGTAGATCAGGTACAGTGGAATGATCCTAAACACAATTTCACCCTGCAGTGAGCACAAGTAGGGTGGCAGGAAGCTCCCACTTCCATCTCAACTGGATCTAAAAGGAGGGCCCTTCCAAGAAAGAAGCCCCAGCTCTGAGCCTATAGGGCAACAAGGGAGGAGAACTCGCCCTGAGTTTAGGAAAGGAAATGGAGGCACTGACTTCAGAGTCCTGTCTATTCTCTGAGGTCAGAGGGAGTAGAACTGGACCACGCTATGGCAAAGAAGGACTCTGTGCTTAAGGGAGAAAGTGAGACCAGCATGTGTCAAACAAAAAGGAACTCCTCTAGAGAAGATTCAACCAGACTGTGTGTGGCTCAGTGTCAGCTAGACCCCAATATTCAAGAGTAGGCGTTCAGGCCGAAACCGGTTTGGCTCAGTGGATAGACCGTCGGCCTGTGGACTGAAAGGTCCCAGGTTCGATTCTGGTCAAGGGCATGTACCTTGGTTGCAGGCATATCCGCAGTGGGAGGTGTGCAGGAGGCAGCTGGTTGATGATTCTCTCTCATTGATGTTTCTAGCTCTCTATCTCTCTCTCTTCCTCTCTGTAAAAATAAAAAAAAAAAATCAATAAAATATATATATTTTTTAAAAGTAGGAGTTCAGGTGTCAAAGTGAAAACAATTACTTTTTAGAGCTGACGCCTACAAACCACTTGGCTCTGCCGGCTACCACAGAAGAGTCCTGGCCAGTGTGCCTATCACCTTCAGAGAGGCCCAGAACCTGCGGGGTTCAAATTCTGCAATCAGCAGAAACTGGACGACGGGTTAGGGGACTGAGGTGGCTGAGAGGAGACTGAAGACAGGAGCAGAGGCTTTCTAAAGCAGGCAGTGAGTCCAGGGGTCTTTGTTTATAGATTTTGCAGGACCATCAGGGTTGGTTGTGGGCTCACCTGCACGTGGCCCCCTCAGGATGTGAAATCACCCCACGCCCCCTCCTTGTGCACTTACTCAGGCACCTCCCCAAAGCCAGGTGCAGCCCGGGCTTCCGCTGCGAAGATTTTGCAATACTCCCGACTCATGTTCTGGATCTTGCACCCCTGTGGATTTCAGAGAACCCATCCTTATCAGCAAGCAAGCTCCCTGTCTTCTCATGCCCAGCTCCACATAGGAAGGCCATCTGCCAGAGGATGCCAGGGGGCCCTGGTGGTAAGTGCCAGTGCCCCAGGGCCACGCTGTGACAGCAAAAAGGCTTCCAAATGGCCAGAACACAGACCACCCACCCAGCACTCCCTTCTCTCTCATGTAAGGCTTCTGTGTAAGGTGCACCTGGGGGCAGAGGGAAAGATTTCTGCTGCAAAAATCCAGTTTGAGCCAAAACCGGTGTGTCTCAGTGGATAGAGCATCAGCCTGTGGACTGAAAGGTCCCAGGTTCGATTCTGGTCAAGGGCATGTACCTTGGTTGCGGGCACATCCCCAGTGGGGGGGCGTGCAAGAGGCAGCTGATCAATGTTTCTCTCTCATCGATGTTTCTAACTCTCTATCCCTCTTTTCCTCTCTGTAAAAAAGTCAATAAAATATATTATTAAAAAAAAGAAAAGAAAAGAGAGATAACAGCTGAGTCTGTATGTGTGTAATTAAAAAAAATAATAATCCAGTTTGAAAACTAAGGCCCCAAAGATGTAACGTGAGCTACGCCTCAGGCTCTCAAAGATCATCCCAGGACCCTCCCAGGTTGAGGCTGAGACGGCTTCTGCCTCTGTACTGGGCTCCCCAACAGTCCCCAGGCTGGGGAAAGGGAGGAGGGGAGAGAACGCAGGATGGCGGTGGGAATGGGACACAGTACCTGAATGGTGACATCATAGTTCCTGCCCAGGAGGGAAGTCTCACTGCTGGGCCCAAACACCAGCGGGCTGGACACCTTGATGACACACGTGCGGCCTGACTCGAAGATAGGCTCCAGCCCGTAGATGACCTTGGCCCGGGAGGCCTTCCGAAGGCTGTACCTATGTCCACCCCCTCGTAGATCCTCGCTCACCAGGCGCCCAAAGAGCTTGTCTCCCCAGCAGCCAGAGTCAGCCAGACCCTTAGCAAACACCATGGGAGTCATTTCAATCTCTTCTCCAACTGAAGGGGAACAGGAAAACGTGGAAAACTAAAGCTCCTGCCTCATGGACCAGTCCAGTAGCAGGGTACCCCCCTCGTGCTCAGATTGTAACCACTAAATGCCATTTCCCACTAAAAGGAACCAGAGCTCCCCGAAGAAATGGTTGATTCCAAGCCTAAGGCAGAAAGTCTATTGGATGGACCTGAATCATCTGTCAGACCAGAAAAAAAAGAAGCTATTGAAAATGACTGGAGCCTGGCCAGTGTGGCTCAGTGGTTGAGCATCGACCTATGAGCTAAGAGGTCATGGTTCGATTCCCAGTCAAGGGCACATGCCCGGGTTTGTGGGTTCAATCCCCAGAGTGGGGCATGTAGGAGAAATCCTGGGCAGGGTGCTGGGCAGGGTAGGATATGTCCTGGAGGCCTGTCCTGCCCTTCGTCAAGCACTCTGACAAAGGCAAAGGGCACAAAGCTGAATTAACTCCTTGTGGAATGCCCCTTAACCCCCTCTACCCCCACCATCTTCTGAAATAGCCACCCTCTTCCATTCTCCTCCTCAAGCATCTCCTGAAGTAGGAGGCAAAGAGTGGCTGTCTGTGAAGGCAAACAGCATTTGGAACAGATCCAAGTCCTTGGAGAAGGTCCCCCTGCAGGTGGCAGGGCAGGGATGAGGCCACCCACTCCCTCAAGGGGCTCCGTACCTTCACCTTCTTCTCTGGAGATGAATCCTGACAACACTGTGGGGAGCAAAAGAAGAGAAAGCAGCTGTCCTCAGACTGCTCTGCCCGGCGAGAGACCATCTCTGCAGACGGCTGCTGCCCTCCCTCAGGAGTGGGGCCAGGCAGAGAGCCGGGGGCACACTCACCCTCGGGGCTGAGGCAGAAGTCAGTGGAGGCCGAGCCGTGCTCATTGTGGATGGTGCATCGGTACATGCCACAGTCCACGGGGGACGCCTGCACAATGGCCAAGGCCGCCGGCCCCTCGTCCCCTGCGCTGCAGAGAGTGGAGACCCTTCCCGTGAGAGCCATCACCACGGCACAGCCAGGGCCAGAAGGAGGTCCCGGGGCTCCTCAGACCCAGCGCTCAGGCTGCTGGGAGTCCTGGGACAGGCAGTAAGATCACACAGGTCTGCTTTGCGGGGCTGACACTCACTAGTTGTGTGACTTTGGGCAAATGACTCAATACCTCTGAGCCTCTATTTGCCTCCTCTCTGCTATGAGAATGCTGGAATCTCCCTGGTACAGTTAGTGTGAGGGTTGAGTGAGTGACGGACCTAAATGAGGACAATGCCCAACATTATGATGTTATGATTGCTATAATTAGGGAGCCTCCAGACAGCTTACCTCCTGCCCACTTCGCCCACTGGGTGCAGATCCTTGGCCCAAGTCAAGACTGAGTCACTAAGAATGTTGAAAAACTGGCACCAGAGCTTCAGGCTCCCCGAGGCGTCAGGAAACTGCTCCACTCGAATCTTTCTAATTACCTGTGGGGCTGGGAGCAGGGGACCAGGGAAGAGGACTGAGCACCTCCCCTCCATCTTGTGTCCACTCCGGCCCTGCCCCTGCTTCCCTCGGTGTCCCTGCTGGAACAGGCTGGGAGAAAACAGGATTCAAGTCTCCACACAAGGCACTCCTTCACAACCCCAAAGTATCTTCCCTGACCCCCAAAACATACATCCTAGCTTGAAAGAACCCAGCTGAGGATACAGACAACAGTCAAAAGAGAAACTTCTGGCCCTGCAAGCGTAGCTCGGAAGAGAGAGCGCGGGCCGACGCACCAAAGAAAGTGTTGGCCGGTCAAGGGCACGTACCTGAGTTGCAGGTTCTGCAGCCCCAGTTGGGGTTCATATGGGAGGCAATTAATGGATGTGTCTCTCTCTCCCATCGATGTTTGCCTCACTCTCCTTCTCTCTCTCTCTTTTCCTCCCTCTTTCCCTCCTTTCCGCTCACTCTAAAAAGCAACGGGGAAAATATCCTCAGGGGAAGATTTAAAAAAAATAAAAATAAAGAGGAGCTGCCATTTGTATTCCAAGCTCCTAACTCTAGGAGCCTGTATGTACTCTACTCATGGGCCACGACAGAGTAGAAAAGAAAGAGGGGAGTATGGTGGTGATGATGACAGAGGATGACAACCTCTGTGCCAAGTACTTGATTTATTCTATGTTATTTAACCCCTTGCAATGTTACAAAGCTACTATTACCACCTCCAAGTGGCAAAGCCAGGAGGAGAGAAGCAGGCCTTAAGGTCTCTGCATGTCCCTAGCAGGCACGTGCCACCCAGCGGCTGCAGCAATGTCCTCGGCTGGGCAGCCCTCTGTGTGGAGCCACACCCCGGGCCCCCCCATCGCTCACCTTTGAGCAGGTCCTTGGCTTTCCTCGGCTTGCCTGGGCTTTCCTGCTTGTCTTCCTCCAGGCTCAGCTCTGCATCCGGCTCGCTGGGCTTGGGGCTGGGGCCCGGGTCTCCTGCTGCCTGCTCCTCCTCTGCCCGGGGCACCTCCAGCAGGCCTGCCTTTCGGCCCTGGGTAGGAGAGCGCTTCTCCCGCCCCAGGGTCCCTGGGGACCCAGGTGTGAGGCCCTTTCTGGGGCCCCGGGGGGACACCGTGGGGCTCTCCCTCTCTTCGGGCTTGGCTGCCTCCCCATCCCCCGCTGCTCTGGCCTTGGGGAGAAACCGCTTCCTCCGCGCCCCCAGGGCCAGTTCCTCAGGGGTGGCTGCAGGGAGACCTGCTGGCGCCTCCGGTGGGAGGTCCTCCCCTCGGGAGGGTTCCTGGGCTCTGCTCTCTGCTGAGAGGGGCTCCTGACTGAAGGCTCCCTGCCCACCTGCCTCCCCGACACCGCTCTCCTGAGAGGTTCCCAGGAGACCAGGCCTCTCAAGGGGAACCTCTCCCTCACCCTTACTGGACTCTCCTGAGGTCAGCCCAGGGTCCTCCTCGCCTACCACGATGGCAGGCACGGCGAGGGGGCTGGAGCCAGGGCTCCGGGCAGCGGCCAGGGCCTGCTGGCCAGCCTGCACCTCACGGTCCAGGAGGCCGGTGATGCGGCGGGAGGTGCAGGGGCTGAGCAGCAGCGTCTGTGCGCTCTGCACCAGATTGTCGTTTTCCACACGCTCCAGGATGCGCCGTGATGTCTGCGGGCTCAGACCGGCCACTTCCAGAGTGGGGGCCAGCGTGGGTGAGGGCGCCAAACCCCTGTGGGCAGCTCCTTCCTGGGACTTGGTGCCCCCTCCACTCGTCTCTTTGCTGGACAGCTTCAGCAGGAGAAGCAAGTAATTCTTCAGGGAATCTATGAGGCCAGGGTCGCAGCTCTGGGCGCCTGTGGGCCTTCCTTCCCCATCTGACATCTTGGCGCAGGCTCCCTCACTGCTGGCTGCTCTGGTTTCTGGTGGGTGATTCTGGGTGGGGGTCCCAGGCCCCAGGTGCACTGAGGGTGCAGAACTCAGCGAGGCCTGGTCCCCAGCGGGCAAGATGGCAGCTGCACGCATGCGCTGAGAAGTGGGGGTGCTGGGCAGCCCCTGCTGGGAGCTGTGGGTCAGGCCAGTGCCAGCAGGAGAAGGCAGAGTAGGCACGTTTGGGCTCAGGCCTGCGGGAGGAGCGCCCCCCACACCCACAGACAGCACCTCCCCCGGCTGCTCCTCCTTGGGGCGCTGGAACAGGCTATCCTCCAGCTTGTCCTTGGCCGGGCCTGGCCACTCCGGCCCCCAACACCTCCCTCCTCCCGTCTGCACCTCAGGAAGCAGCTGTGCTGGGAGCCTGAGGCCCCCTGTTTCCTCTTGGTTACCAGAGGCCGTCTCTGCTGCCTCCCCAGATCTGAGCGCGAAGCCAGGTTTTTCTGGGACAGAGGACCTTGCAATCATCTGAGAAGTGGGATCCTCTGAAAGGGAGCCTTCAGGGGCTCTGGACTGTGGGCTGAGGTTGGTCACTGACTTCTCGGACTGAACTTTAGTGGCTATGGGTACACGCTTCTCTGACTGTGTCCCCCTGTCTTCCTGTATCCTGTCTTCCTGTGTCTTCTCACCTGCCTGTGTCTTCCTGTCTTCCTGTGTCCCTGTCCTTCCCTGTCCTACCACATCCTTCTGGGCACGCCTGCCTGACTCTGTCCTCTCGCTTTCATGTGCCACAATGTCCACCTGTGTCTTCCTGTCTGCCTGTGTCCTCGCGTCCACCTGCATCTTCCCATCCGTCTCTGAATTCTTCGTGCCTCCATGTCTCCAGTCAGCATATGTGCTGCTCTCCTGAGTTTCTGTGTCCATGGGCTCCATGACGCCCTGACTCCTGGGGGTGCTGCCACCAGCAGAGGCTGTACCAGTGCTGCCGCTGGCCGATATAGTGGGAGCCATGGCTGCCTGGGACTCCGGGACCTGAGAATAAAGGGACAAAAGCAATAACCTAGCTCATGGCCTCAGGATCTCCAATTTAGCATCCTGCCCCAACCCCTGATCCCAGAATCCCCAGCAACCAGGTCCAGCCTGGCCCTTCCCCCCTCTCCCTGAAGAAATCCTGCCTTTCCCGAAAGCCCCTGCTCATGTGTATCCCTCCCGCGCCCGGCATTTGGAGGGGAGTTGTCCCTCGGGGCTTCTGAGCAATCCTTCTGTCCCTCATTGCCCCAGATTGGATTATTATGGGTGAAGAGAGGATATATATGACCTCACTCTTCACAACCATGTGAGATAGTTTTGTGATAATCTTTTTGATATGAAAACACTGACGGTCTGATTTGTCCGTTATCAGATAGTAAGTGGCAGAGTTTAGTTTAGAAGCCCGGTGTGTCTAGCTCCAAATCTCATGTTCTTTGCTGTTATACTATAATGCCACCCATTTAAATCCTAATTAAAGGACTTACTATCTAAACATAAACATAGTAGTATAAGATAGTAATCTGTTTCTTTCCTTCTGGATGTCATCAAAACCAACAAAGTAAACAAGAAAACAAACTCTACTGTTATGAAACTGGAGGCAAATAAAAAACACAGCCTAAAAAAAAAAGGGCCAGGGTTGTCAAAAGCAGACAGATTCAACACCGGGAGACTGAGCTGGAACCAATAATCCAGAAAGGAGGAAATAATCAAAGAAACAGCTCAGCAGGTAAATAGTGACACCGTTCAGCAGGTCTCAGAATATGACACCAAAACAGTTATTGTACATAAAGGACTCATCCTAGGATAATAAGCCCCAAAACTCCACCTACAAGAGCTATAGGATCCTGGAGGGCTGGGTGGAAATCAAGCAGAAGCCCTATAAAGGAGGTGTCCAAGGAAACAGGGAAAGGGAAGTCGCAGCAGATCTCAAAAAACACCATTTAAAGTACACTACTGGTCCAGCCGGTGTGGCTCAGTGGTTGAACGTTGGCCTATGAACCAGGAGGTCACGGTTCAATTTCTGGTCAGGGCACATGCCCGGGTTGCAGTGGGGACCTGTGAGAGGTGGCCAATCAGTGATTCTCTCTCATGATTGATTCTCCTTTCCTTTCTGAAATCAATAAAAATAAAAAATTTTAAAGTACACTACTGAAGAATCCTCCTGAAAATTGCTAAGAAAATTATTTTTGAACATACAAGCAGTTAAGGAATATTGTTCCATGTGCCCTGTTTGAGGAAACTTCTAGAGAACTTCATTCAACTAAAGGTGACTAGAGAAACTACAGCCAAAGGACAGACGATAAGCATTAAATATATAACTGTAGAACCAAGACTAAAATCATAGGAGCTTGGAGTGGCAGATCATAATGTCCATGTTTTTTTTTTTCTTTTTTTAAAAATATATTTTATTGAGTTTTTACAGAGAGGAAGGGAGAGAGATAGAGCTACAAATGTCGATGAGAGAGAAACATCGACCAGCTGCCCCTTGCACAACCCCTACCGGGGATATGCCTGCAACCAATGTACATGCCCTTGACCAGAATCGAACCTGGGACCTTTCAGTCCGCAGACCAACGCTCTACCGCTGAGCCAAACCGGTTTCGGCCATAATGTCCATGTTTTATGCCCTGACAATACAGGAACTATTTAACTAGCACAAAAGGGGAAGGGGAAGGTGGTGATGAGTGGAGTAAATGTCTGACATATACAAGCCAGGAACCAAAGACATGACTCAAAGCTGCAAAGCCAGGTGATATAGGAATAGAAGATATTTAACTAATACAAAGAAAATCACTTAGAAATAAAAATTTAGACTGATAGGAGATGGAAAATAAAAGGGGAAAGGAAGTGGAAACTATCCTTGCCCACTATAAAAAACTTAAAAAGACACTGACTGTACACAAATACTTCTAAGTATCAGAAGAACTACACACAAAAAAAACACAAAGCAAAAAGATCATATAATGATTTTTTAAATATATAATGAAAATATAAATTAGGAAATTTACAGGTACTTTACTGAATATAGAATTTTGAATAAATATGAGTAGAGAAAAATAGAAGAGTTTGGTAAATATCAAGAACCGTCAAATATTAAGTCTGACTGAGGAAAGAATTTTAATAAAAACACTCCTCCAATTTCTCTTATAATTAGTAAGTTATTAACAGACAAAAATACCTTGGAGCCAACAAACAGCAATTAGTAATAGATTAGAAACTTCTTTTAATTTCTGATATTCTAGGATGAGGAAATATTAATATGTTCATGAAATCTATAATTTACAAAGAAAATTCTGACTTTGCACACAAGGCTCATGAAAAGAGAACGAACTTTTGGCTAAAGCTATCTTCACTTCTCTCACCCCAGCTGATCAGTCCCTGAGTGCAACTGAACTCAATTCCTCAGTTTCTCAATGTCTGTTCCCTCTCTGTCTCCACTGACAATATTCATCGCAGCGCAATTTACAATGGCCAAAGATTAGATATTGCCTAAATTCCATCAACATAGGACTGATCCAATGAGTTATGGTACAACCCCATTCCAAATAAATAAAACAAACATACAAATAAAAAAGAAGCAAGGTTCGGCCCAGCAAGCATGGCTCAGTGATTGAGCATCGACCTATGAACCAGGAGGTCACGGTTCAATTCCCTGTCATGGCACAAGCCAGGGATGTGGGCTTGATCCCCAGTAGGGGGTGTGCAGGAGGCAGCCAATCAATGATTCTCTCTTATTAATGTTTCTCCCTCTCTCCCCCCCTCTTCCTTCCTCTCTAAAATCAATTTTCTTTAAATTTAAAGCAAATTATGAGCTAGAAAGTATCATATACCACCTTTATATGGAAAATACACAGACACACACACACATATGTAAATGCACAGAAAACAGCTCTGAACGGATGCTCAAGATACCAGTAATGGAGACTGACTTCAGGAAGAGGAACTGCATGGTAGGGATAGGGAAGGAGGGAAGATTTAATATTCTCTAATACCTTTTATACTTTTTGAGTTTTATACCACATGCATGACACGTACTCAATGAAATTAAATTAAAATGAAGATAAATAACTAAATGAACCTTTCTATGATCATTGAGGCCTTTCCAATCAGCAAGGGTCCCAGCAGGTCTCTCCAAGTTCACCTCCTGGGTCCTTCCACCCAACACGAACTTACTGTACCAACTAGAGTAAGTTGTGCTATTTTATAACCGCTTTGATTTTTCTCTACTTCTTCACTTCCTTGAAGACCTCATTCAAGTTTTTTCTTCTCTGAAGACTTATGAGTTCACTCCTCTACTCCCGTTCCTCCCACCCCACTCACCCCTGCAAAATTGGTGACGTCCTGCCCCGTGTACCCATGGCAAATGTACTTGGGTGTTTTCAGGGTGCAAGTTCCTTTCGGCCTCTGAGGTTGTAGTTGCAATGCACGTTCTGTTTTCAAAGCCTCTGCTGTGCTGTCCTCTCTGTGTGCCATCCAGTGGCCAGTCTGGGATTTGAATGATGGTCTCTTAGTTCCAGTCTCAACATGTTTGATATGCTGTTCAGAACCAGATCCATGCGTGAACAGCTTGGGAATAAGTCCAGGACTTTATAAACAGCTTATGAAGTCACTTTTCCAAAATTCCCCCTCTCCAGGATCTCCCCTGTACTTTCTGGGTCCTTCTGGTCATATTCTTCATTTACTCCTCTCTGCAACATTTTGTTTTTGAATATATTTTATTGAATTTTTTACAGAGAGTAAGGGAGAGGGATAGAGAGCTAGAAACATCGATGAGAGAGAAACATTGACCAGCTGCATCCTGTACAACCCCTACTGGGGGTGTGCCCGCAACCAATGTACATGCCCGTGACCGGAATCGAACCCGGGACCCTTCAGTCTGCAGGCCGATGCTCTATCCACTGAGCCAAACCGGTTTCGGCTGCAACATACTTTCTTACATGAGCCTGATTCCTGGGCCAAGGAAGAGATCCAGGAGTAAAAACAAATAAAAAACAAAAACAGGAGTTCATCCCACCCTCTTGGGACCAGAGCTGCTCTGAAGGAGGGGACATATTGTCTTCTCTTAAAACTTAGACACCTATGGCCTCTGCTGCCACTACTACCACTACCAAGAGATCCCTTTCCTAGTCCTCAAGCCTGATCTAGGGCCAACCGGTGGCCCGCGGACTACTGGTACTTACTTCTGAATTTTTAATTGCATTAAGACCAGGCCAGGAAATACTAGATTAAAAAAAAAAAAGTTAAGCACTGTTCTGGCCAGTGTGGCTCAGTTGGTGCACCGAATTACAGGCTTAAATCCCAGGTAGGAAGCATGCAGGTGGCAGCTCATAGATGTTTTGCTCTCACATTGATGTTTCTCTCTCTCTCTCTCTAAATCAATTTTAAAAATAAAAATAAAAACAGCATGCATTGCTAGTTCATTAGTACTTTAAATTCTGGTCTTCTTTCCCATTATGTGTGTTGTCATTTGCTTATGCAAATTATCAAATAATTAAACCATGCATTTTGCCCATATCCTCTGCACTTAGATCTGGTATAAGTCTAGTCCCCTTGATTGGATAATTCCTTAAGGCAAGAATCATGTCTCTCCTCAACCTCCACTCCCTTCAATGCTCTCGGAAAATACTATATTCACGTATTCTCTAAAAACTAAAGAGCCCTTATTATGGGAGAGGAGTGTTCACATTTTGGGATCATTACCCTCAGGACTTATAGGCATCTGCTCCTCATCCATATCCAAGATGGAAGCCTAACTTGAGTTGCCAGAGATAACCCTCATTTTCAGGAAAGGCAGTCAAGACGGACTGCAGTAGGAAGGACAGTGGCATCAGATTCCAGAAGCAAAGACCCAGACTACTTAACCCTAGCAAGAGACATGTTGGACCCATATGAAGTAGACAACAGAGCTTTAAAAGATATAAGAAGATCTGAATAATTGACATAAATACCATGTTCCCAAATGAGAAAAAATATTAAGATACAGATTTTTCCAAATTAATTCTTTTTTAAAAAAATATATATTTTATTGATTTTTTACAGAGAGGAACGGAGAGAGATAGAGAGCTAGAAACGTCGATGAGAGAGAAACATCAACCAGCTGCCTCTTGCACACCCCATGCCGGGGATGTGCCCACAACCAATGTACATGCCCTTGACAGGAATCGAACCTGGGACCTTTCAGTCCGCAGACCAATGCTCTATCCACTGAGCCAAACCGGTTTCGGCTAATTCTTATATTTAATGTAATCCCAGTCAAAATGCCAATGGTATAGAGACAGAAAGCAGATAAATTGGTGCCTGCGTCTGGGAGTGGGAACAAGGATTAACGGCAAAAAGGAAGAGGGATCTTTTTATAATGATGGAAATGTTCTAAAACTAGATTGTGGCAATGGCTGCACAGCTCTGAATTGTATACACTGAATTATATATTTGAAGAGGTAAGTGCTATGGTATATAAATTATACCTCAATAAAACTGTTTAAAAATATATTATCTAGCAAGTTTTACAAAGAGACCATCTAAAATGCAAATATGACTTTAGTTTTCCAGGAAAGTATTTAATAGGCTTTTGACCTTATTAAAAATAATTCATCTTTTTTTTTCCTTTGAATAGACTTACTTTTCTTAGAGCAATTCATCACTTCTTTAAAAAATATGTTGTTTTTAAATGGTGAATATGAAGATATGAGGTAAAAACAAACAAAAAATGACATGGGAGATTGGACAATTTCAAACAATGATTCTAAAGTGTTTCTAGAAGAATAAACAAGAGAGAAGAGCTAAGAAAAAAAAAATTTTTTTTTAAGTGTAAGCGGGTTGCTCTGCCAGAAATTGAAACTATAATAATTAAAACAAGATCATTCTGTTGTAAGAATCAACAAACAGAATGGATTATGACAGATGTGTATATATAGGTTGTAGTGTTTATAAAAGTTATTATATAAAAAAGAATCACTAATAGGTAAGGGTTGAATATTAATAAATGATAATTGGGGAAATTACCCGCTTAACCAAAAATTGATCTAGAGAGTGATGCTTTACTATACAAGCAAATCAATTCCAGATTAATTTAAAAATCAAATGAAATAATTCAAGCAATAAAATTTTTCTTAATAAAGATTAATATTTAACTAACCTCAGATAGGGAAGGAAAGCATAAAAACTATGGTCGTATACAACCATTAAATATGAAGTTTTTTCCAACTAATTTTTAGGAACCATAAGAAAATGTTCATGAAATAATGAGAAGTAGAGTCTCATGTCTAGAATAACTGCACGAATTAAATTTAAAAACTAATAAACTACATATGCAAAAAGACTGGTAGATATACGAGGATGTGTCTGTATGGTAGAATTATAGGTGAATTTTTAGGGTTTTGCCTCATATTTTCTACTATGACCATGTGTTTCTTTCATAATCCAAAAATTTTTTTTAAAGATTTGGTACTGTGAAAATATGAAAAACCAGTCAAATTCAGCCACTAAAAAGCAACAGCTTCAAAATATACACAGATGTTAAATGCATTTTTCACATTTTTTTTAATATAAAAATCTAAAAGCCACAGATACTTTTTGGAACAGCAGAACCACTGCAGCCAGCCTCTCCCGTGTCCACCTGCCTGAGCCTTCTTCTCTCACTTTTGAGAGGCAAGGAGGACCCTGCCAGGATCCTGGCTATGGTGCTCCCCAGCCCTGTGGGTGGAGGAGCCAGATTCGCTCCCAGACCTGGCTGCCAGCCTGGTCACTTCCCAAATGAAATGCCCCCTCCGCCCCCCCATGAGGGCCATCCCTACAGGAAAGCCCTGCTGTTCAGCCTGTGGCTGTCAAATACATGAGGCAGCCCCATCTGGGCCATTAGAACTCACCAAACCAGCTGCTAACATCTCCCGAGACCAAGCATGAGGGTCTGAAACAGATTCTAAACAGACTGGTTTGAGCAAGTTCACTGTATCCAGCGCCCTCTGAACTGTCCACACGACTAACCACAGCATTCACTGAAATAAAACCATTTCCCCTGTTCACCCTTGAACTTGATCTTCCCCTCCTTCCCCCGTACAAGTTCTCTCCACGGGAAAGGCAGCCCCTCGCTGCTTTCCGTGAAGCAGCACCCCGTTCCCCTTGCCCGCCCTGAGGTGCCGTAGCAGCTTGTCCCTCACGTGATCGCCTCCCAGCTCCAAGAAGCCGTCCGTCCTCTGCCCGACCCCTGTAAGTGCTGCTTCCAGATGCTCCTCCTGTTTCCTGGGGCCCAGGCTCTGCTCCCTCGATCCCAAGCAAGTCTTATCTTAGTTCCCGCCAAAATGCTGTTTCCACTTAAGGTTGCCAGATTTAGCAAAAAGGAACACAAGACACCAGGTTAAATTTGTATTTCAGATAAACACCCAATAATTTCTCAGTACCAGAGAATCCCATATCTCTTATCCACACTACCCCTACTCTTTTTTTTGAAAAAGATATATTTTATTGATTTTTTACAGAGAAAAAGAGAGAGGGATAGAGAGTTAAAAACATCGATGAGAGAGAATCATCGATCAGCTGCCTCTTGCACACCTCCCACTGGGGATGTGCCAGCAGCCAAGGTACATGCCCCTGACCGGAATCGAACCTGGGACCCTTCAGTCTGCAGGCCGACGCTCTATTCACTGAGCCACACCGGTTTCGGCCATGCTACCCCTACTCTTGAAACACTTTTTTTCCCTGCCACTCATAAGAAATACTGCCTTCTTTCTGCCCCTCTATAAAACACTGTCTCCCTCAACTCCTGTGAAATACTGCCTGCCCTCTGCCCCCTGAACCGTGAAGCAGTGGTCACACAGGACAGACGCCCTTCTGTCCATCCTCTCAATCCCATCCTCTCAATCCCAGCCCTCCCATCTCTTTCCCCTCCCTCATCGGACTCCTTCATGTTGTCCCACCCCCATCAAGTGCCTTAATGTTGTCATTCATCTGCCCATCTCCACACAAAACATCATCTTTTCTCTGTTGGCTACCTGATTCCCAGAAAATGATGACACTCCTGTTCGCAGGTAAAACAGTCTACCTCTGTCTTCCATCAGCGTACTATCCTATACCTCCTGCCATTAACTTAGTTCTTTCTTTCTTTCTTTCTCTCTTTTTTTTTTTTTTTTTTTTGTGCCAAAACCCAGGATCGAAGACTTAGTTCTTAATATGCACTAAGCCCCGTGCTAAGCACTCTAATGCTTGCAACAGCCTATGAAGTCGGCCTTGTTATTAGGATGATGTTACAACTTGCCCAAGATCACACAATGTTAAGGACAGTCAAATTTGTACGCAGATAAAAACCCACATGAAGCCAGAATTTCCTGGTCCCCTGATATGTTTTAAGTCTTCTAATGAGCTTCTACATTGAGACCCCTCTGCATACCACAGCCCACTCCTGCTCCTGTCTCCCCCACGAAACTGTTGTCTAAGGAAAAGCCCACAGAAAACTCTCCACTGGCTTTTTCCTCAACAAAAAATATCGCCTTCCTCCCTCTGGGGCACAGGCCTCTTGGCTGTGAACTCCCACACTGTCAGAGAGGGTCACAGTCAGGCTGAGTTGCCCACATGCCTGGCATCTGGAGACCGCCTGGGGCAAGGGCCCCTGCTCCAGGCTGGCACTCCATCCCTACCCCGCCCCGCCCCTTCTATAAATACCCCGCTGCTCACTGGCTGCCGAGCTGTTGTAGCAAGAGTTTCCATGAAGTCAGCTTCCCAGAGCGACCCCCGGGCACGCAGCACCCACACTTACCTCTCCTGGAGTCCCACGTCCTGCTTGTCCCTGCAAGGGGCTGTCCCTGGTGCCGTATCTCCGCCGGGCAGGAGGTGTGGGCACCTGGGCAGAAGCCTGGGGTGGAGCCTTCCCTAAGCTCTGGGCTCCGGGTTCAGAAAGTGGATTCAGGGGAGCATCAGGCTTGCTGTTGGTGGTGGGCTCCCCTTTGGGCTTCGGAGGGGCAAACCTCTTCCGGTTGAAAGGCCTTGCTGGCTGAGGGGCTGGAGGTATCGGCTGGCCAGGGGCCGGAGGCCCCGTCTCACTTTTTGCCTCACTGGGCACCTTCCCTGAGGGCATCTCTCTAGACTCCCTGCCGCTCTGTGTGTGGTAGCCTTCTTCCCCCTGAGGCCTGACCGCCTGCGTGCTCTCCAGATACATGTCCTTCAGGGAGAAATAGACTTCCTGGTCTGGGCCTGGGACAGGGGCTGGGGCATTCTGGGCCTGGTCTGGAGAGCCCACGGCAGAGGCTGGCTTCCTGGTGCTTTCTACTCCAGAGGCCCCAGGCCCCCGTGCAGCCCGGCCTCTGGACCAGGCCTGGATCTGCTCCGCGTCCATGGGCCCCTGTGTCCCGCAGGCGTCAGGCGTGTCTGAACTAGGGGCGCAGTTTTCAGAGCGGTGCCCTCGAGCTGCCTTCTCTAACTCTGGCTTCCGCAGGCCTGGCTTAGGTTCCTCGTCTTTCTTTTTCTTCTTGGCCCCAGACTCCTTTTGGGGGGCTCTCTGAGGCCCCAGGACCATGGCCTCACAGATGTATGTCAATAGGCCGTGATCCCCGTCCTCCCCGTTCTCAGGGACAGCATCTCCATTGGTGGTCACCTCTCCGGGGGCAAAGCTGTTGATCAGGCTCAAACCTGGGTGCTGACCGGGCTCAGGCTCCCCCTCCTGCCAAGCTGCGGAGGTCCTGTCCTCAGCCTCCCTGCTGGGGGCGGCGGGGACTGGCATCCCAGCCCCACTCAGCCGCCGCTTTCGCTGGAAGCGGTCGGGGCTGAGCTTGCGCAGAGTGTCCGCCTCTCCCACCACCTCCTTCCCGCGCTTCCAGCTCTGCTCCATCTCCCGCATCTTTGCCTCGGCCTTGCACTTCAGCTTGGCGAACCAGCGCTGGTGGATCTTGTACTCGGTCATGGTGCCCACCTCCAGAACCCCCGAGCAGGACACGATGCCCTTGGTGTTGCGGGCGGAGGCCTGGTAGATGGCAGCATCTTCTTCTTGACACCTGGAGGCAGGAGCATTAGATGATGCCAACTCATCCCTCCGGGATGTGAGGGGCCCCCACTCCCCACAGACAGAGCCTCTCAGAGTTGAGCGAGCTACCCCAGTCCCTAAAAGTGCTGCTCTGAGTGCCACGCCCATCACTCTTCAGTATAGTTGAGGAAACTAAGGCCAGCAAGGGAGATGGAAGCTGATCAAGATCATGCCGTTCCGGGGGGGGATTAGACTCGGGGCACAGGAGAGTTCCCTCCAGAAGCAGGTGACCCACACGGCCCCTTGTGAAGGATGACACAGGAGCTTTTTCTGGCCGCAGACCTCATGGAAAATGTTTCCATGGGTCAGGACCTCCTCTTGTTGCACTCAGCCCTCTGGCTGTCACAAACACTCCCACCCTGGCCTTCGGAGATTCCAGACGCTGGCAGGCAGACACAGCTCGCCAGGTGCTTCAACTCAACAACATGACCCCCGCCTCCAGGCTGACAGCCTGCCGGGACGTCTTCGTGCAGCTGTCTCTATAGCCGAGGGCAGGCCTGGGCCCCGGAACCCTCAGCAGAGCCAGAGCAAGCCCTGCTGCCTTACCTGTAGAGCTGCAGTGTGTGCCGTTTGCCCTGGTGCGTGATCTCATATTTTGGCAAGCCACAGTAGCGGTCCAGCTCTGTGTCGTCCTTGTACCAGGTCACCTCTGGCTCTGGGTACCCTAAGAAGGAAACAGGAGATTGGAAGACCAATTTCAAAAGAGTGAGAAAAGAGAACAGGATGTCATGGCTCCCCCCGAACCACCTGAAGAGACTGGACTGGCACGCTTGCCCCAGGCTTGCTGGCAGAACAGAGCTATCATATGGTTCAGCTTATTTTAGAATCGAGGCCCTGTCAAAGATGAAAACTGCTCCTCTTCAGCATCGGGAAGGCAAATACAGAGTTGAAACTTCCTAGCTTCCTGGTAAGAAGAGAAGGAAGAAGTTTCTAGAAAGCCTTGGCTGCCGAAACCAGTTTGGCTCAGCAGATAGAGCCTCAGCCTGCGGATTGATGGATCCCGGGTTCGAATCCGGTCAAGGGCATGTACCTTGGTTGCGGGCACATCCCTAGTAGGGGGTGTGCAAGAGGCAGCCGATCAATGTTGATGTTCTCTCTCATCGATGTTTCTAACTCTCTGTCCCTCTCTCTTCCTCTATGTAAAAAATCAATAAAATATATTTTTAAAAGAAAGAAAGAAAGAAAGAAAGAAAGAAAGAAAGAAAGAAAGAAAGAAAGAAAGAAAGAAAGAAAGAAAGCCTTGGTTGGTAGTAATAAGCTTCCTTTCTTCAGTGGCCTGTGCACATCCTCAACTGTAATGACAGCTCTGTCCTCAGAAATCTCCCCCAACACCTCAACACCGACACCACCGCCAAGAGCCCTCCTTCTTGCATTCCAGGTTCCTGAACAATTATTTGATGACATGGCCCAAACATCCATCCGTTCACCCATCCACCCACCAAACCATCCACACCTACCTCCCCTACTGCTGTGAGGCTGGCTGTCTTCCCAGCCCCTCCTCTCTGGGGACTTGTAGCTCTACCCACAAGGAGAGATTCTTACTAATAATTAAAGTCACATAGCTGACTGGTCCAGTAATGGACACCCAATCCGCTAATATAGTCCAAATCACTGACCTAGGATTTGGGAATTAAGAGACAGTCTTCTGCCAGGACCGGTTTGGCTCAATGGATAGAGCGTCGGCTTGGGGACTGAAGGGTCCCGGGTTCGATTCTGGTCAAGGGCATGTACCTTGGTTGCGGGCATATCCCCAATAAAATATATATTTTTTTTTAAAAAGAGAGACAGTCTTCCCTTGTTGTCTGGAAATATAACTTCAAAGGGGCACAACCATGCTCTGTCACATGGACTGAGAAGCAGACAAAACTGGTCTGTAGCGAGATGGAAAAATGAATTCAATGTGCAGGATAGAATGAGAGCTCGGAGCCAGAGAGAGTCCCAATATCCTTCCAACTACTGGCTCCATTCCTTGCCTGGGCATGGCCACCCTCCAGTCAATTTCAGAAAAAATCCTGGCTAGCCTTACCAATGGATTCAGCTAACTACAATTGATTTGCAATACTTATTAGAAAACTAAGACTCCTAACGTACATTCCCCTCAAATATATATATTATGTGCTGTCTGCCAAGTGAGGATGATGAAGACAGAGAAGCTTGATGGACAGGGTACCTGCTCTCAGGGAACCTACTGCACAGCAAAACAAGACAAGACAGGTCCTTACACACCTGCTCTCCCTCCCCTACTGTCTATGGGTAAATTGCCCACACTGGATCCCCCTCCTCTTGTCTCATCAGGGACACCTCTCCAACAATTGTTCTGTCAATCAACATCATCTCACACCTCAATTTCTGCAATAACCTCCTCTCTGGTCTCACTACTCCCACCCTGTGTCTCTTCAATCCATTCCCAGCACAGCAACCAGAGGGAACCTTTTTAAATAAAGTCAGGCCCTAGATAGTTTGGCTTAGTGGAGAGAGCATCAGCATGTGCACTGAAGGGTCCTGGGTTCGATTCCGATCAAGGGCACATTCCCGGGTTGCAGGTTTGATCCCTAGAAGGGAGCATGCAGGAGGAAGCCAATCAATAATTCTCTTTTATCACTGATGTTTCTCTCTCTCTCTCTCTTCTCTCTCTTTCTTTCTCTCTCTCCCTCCCTCCCTCTCTCTTTCTCTCTGTGTCTCTCTGAAATCAATAAAAACATATTAAATAAATAAAGTCAGGCCATGATGCTTCTCTGCTCAAAACATCCCAATAGCTCCTATTTCATTAAGGCCTCCTGATCTGGGTCCTCACCTCTTACCATTTGGCCTTGTCCAGTGCACTCCAGCCCACGATCCTGCAGGCTCCCTCCTCACACACCATGTGAACATCACACAGCAAGTCCTTATCTGTCCTCAGAGAAGCCTCCCTGTACTTCTTAATCCTCTTACCCTGTTTTATCTTTCTTCACAAAATGCATGGCTACCTGACATATTATACACTATGATCTTGTTAGTTCACATCCATCCTCTCCAGGGTGCCCATGGAAATATCAGCTGCATGACTTATGTTATTCACTGTTGTGTCACCAGTTTCTAGAACAGTGCCAGGTATGGAATCGCTCATTACATATTTATAGATGAATGAATGAAGCAATGCGCTAAGTGTTCAGGGTGCAGAGAAAGGAGCAAGCACTTCTGGCTGGGGAATCAGGAACAGCTTTATGGTAGGAGTAGCTTTGAAGGGCGAACCAGAAAATGTGGGCCGCTCACACTGGATCCCACCTCCTCTTCATTTCCTCTTCACAGCATTGTAATGGACTATTTCCTTGGCTGCCTCCCCTCCTTGACTTTGCCCCATGTGGGCAGAAACCATGTCTTCCTTACTGCTACTGGTATATCCCCTCCAACTAAGACAGTGCCTGGTACACAGCAGTCACTTCATAAGACCTGCTGGATAACTGAGTATGTGAGTAAGTAAGAGAATGAGCGAACAAACAAATCAGAGGTGACAGGAAGGGCATGTCTGTCAAAGGAACACAACAGTAGAGTGTGTATGTGGGGGGAAGGGGAGCCGAGAGCAGAGTGGTGGAAGCACAGGGCACCCTGGGAACTGTGTACAGGAGGTGGGAACAAGAGAGGCCAGGCTGCAGCCAGGTCGGCCAGGAACAAACTCTGGGCAGCCCTGGCTGTAAAGTGAACCCCATGTTTCCACTGGGAGCTAAAGCCCCTGGTTACATCACTATGCATATGGCAGGACCAGGATGGGTGCCCTCACCATCCTGTGGGATGATCTCATCCCTACAAGGGCCTGGCTCAGAGCCTCCCTGCCCCATGACCTGACCTCGGCCTCAGGGCATCTGAGTCCAGCCAGGAGGGAGCGAGGGGGCAGGGATGGGGAGAGAAGGTGGATGCTGATTGAACTCCACAGCCTCAAGGCTGGGGCCAAAGCCCCCATGACACCCACTGTGCCTCTTCACAGAGTGGGACCAACCTGACAGCTCAGGGCTCCATGGCAACAATGAGTTTTGGAAACAACTTTAACTGGGGAGAAAACATGTCTTGTCCCCTGTATAATATGAACTGTATTCTAAAACAGACAAAAGCAGCTGAAACCGGTTTGACTCAGTGGGTAGAGCGTCGGCCTGCGGACTGAAAGGTCCCAGGTTCCATTCCGGGCAAGGGCATGTACCTTGGTTGCGGGCACACCCCCAGTAGGGTGTGTGCAAGAGGCAGCTGATCGATGATTCTCTCTCATCGATGTTTCTAACTCTCTACCCCTCTCTCTTCCTCTTTGTGAAAAATCAATAAGATATATTTTTAAAAATAAATAAAAATAAAACAGACAAAAGCAGGAGAGATCCTTCATTCCCTGCTGCACACACGTACATGCCAAAGTATGTGCCCAGAGTGGCACTGGAGCCGTGCCTTCCCTTTCCCTGTCACACCCTGTGACTCTGCCTCACAGCCAGCAGACCTGAGTCTGGGGCCCAGCTTGGAACTAGCCGACTCCTCCCAACCATTCCCAGTTTGAAGACGCTCAGATTCAAGAGTCATGATGAATGTAAATCTCAAGTTTTCAAAGAGCTTTCAAGCACAGAGTTTCGTTTGGCCCTCGGGACAATCCTGGGAAAACAATTGCTAATGTTTCGTGATGATTTATTTTGAGTCAAGCACTGAGCGGAACATTTCTCATGTATCATCTCATCTAATTCTCATAAATCCTGTGAAGAATGTTATTAATTCCCAATTTGAGGAAGAGAAAATCAAGGCCTATGAAATGAAGGCTCCTACCCAAATTCATCCAGCTGCCAAGTGATCATTCGGCACCAGTAGTCATTATTTAGACTTACGTCTCTAATAAGGTTTCTTTAGCCGAAACCGGATTAGCCCAGTGGATAGAGTGTCAGCCTGTGGACTGAAAGGTCCCAGGTTCGATTCTGGTCAAGGGTATGTACCTTGGTTGTGGGCACATCCACGGTGGGGGGTGTGCAGGAGGCAGCTGATCGATGATTCTCTCTCATCGATGTTTCTCTCTGTCCCTCTCTCTTTCTCTTTTTTAAAAAAAGGTTTCTTTAGGAACTTGGTTCTGTCTAAAGGCTCAGTCCCTTGATCCATCTGGCCTGCCGCTGGTATTTCCTCTTCCTCCTGCCCTAACATGCGCACACACATTCACACACACGCCAACATTGAATCTACAACAGTATTGAGGAGAGTGGGGAAGGAGGCCACTCTGCTAGACAGCAATGGGCTAGACAGCCTCAAGGAAGACAGTAGCAGCCTGGCTTGAGGGGCTCCTGGGGGAGATAGGAGGCAGAAGGACCAGTCAGGGTCCACTACCCTCCTACGTGGCAACTCGGACAGAGAAGAATCTCAGGGTAAACATTTCCTCTCTGAGCCTCCAAAGGGCATCCCTCACAGCTCAGCTCCCATGGAGCCAGCACAGCCGCCTCTCCCTCACCTGGACTAGGTCTGACCCACCAGGGACTGACTCATCACAGCCTCGTACAGAAAGTGCTACCAGCAGGGTGGAGGGAGAGAGGCAACTGTAATTACTGTCTCCATGGAAACGAGCCAGGATTACCATGCCAGTCACACACACAGACCCATCTCAGCCATCCACCCATCCACCACCACCCACCTTTCCGATATGTGGAGAGCCAATGTTTTTAATTGAATTTATTG